ATTATGGAATGTAATTTCATGTTGCTTGGAAATTGTATTAATGTAATTTCATGTTGTTGAGAAATTATATTGAGGACCGATAAGAATTAGTGTGTTATATCGTTGATCACATTTTGGCACTAATTCTTACTACACTACTAGGCTTATGATTCATGTAGATGTAATACCTATTGTATATGAGTATGGAAGGTTGTATGCTATGATATTTTCGGTATATTGACCACCACGTTCCTATGATAAGGTTATGTTGAATTGAATTGTGTTGAGATGCTGGAATTGGAATTGGAATATTATTTTTTTAAATCGTGGCCACGTAAAATAATTTCTAGTTATTAACCCGATAAAGTCTTTTTTAATGTTATCAAAAAAAAAAAAAGTCTTTTTTAAAATAAATTTATTTTCAAAATAATATCAAATTAATTAATATAGCTCAAGTGGGAGAATGTTGGAAAATTTTATTTATGTGGCCAATATTAATTAATTAGTTTTGTGTTTTTAAAATTAATTGGGTTAATGAATATTCCAATTGTATTATTTTAACTAGCCCATTGTGATCATATTGAGTTTGGTGGGCCCTATTTGGATTCACTCTATAGCATGAGAGAACTACTCTTATGTAACATGAGAATAATATTCCCCATTAAAAATAGGGAAAAAGGTTTGTATTTTTTTTTTTTTGGTATAACCAATTTTGATAAAATCGGACTGACTCAAAAATCGATAAACCGGTCCGATTGAAGTAACGGACTGGCCATGCATAAGAACCGATGCGACCCGGCCGGTTTTCATGAAAACCGGTGACCCGGTTCGATCCCATAAAAAAATTCCAATTTTTTTTTCAAAATAATAATAATAATGGACATATTTGAATATTTTATTGCTTATTGACTTACATAAGTTATGTACCTACAACACAAATATTATCTCAATTATGCACAAAGCAGAAAAATTTGATTTAATTTATAGTTAGAGGTGTCGTTTACAGAACCTGAAGTTCCGTATCACGATCATTATATTTTTGTTTGATCCTTTATTGGATAATAATATGTGATTTTTTATTTTTATATTAAAATATTTGAAAAAAATTTCATTTATTTTTAGATATTTGAGTATGTTTATAAGTTTAAAATGCATCAGAATTATAATTTTTTCTTTTGAAAATGAGTAAAAATATAAATGATTAAAATGTCAATAAACTTCTTTGGTTCAACATAAATATATGAGTGCTTTTTCTTTCTTTCTTTTTTTGGTAAACTATATGAGTGCTTTTATTCGAATTTTTTAAAAAAAGCTGCACAATTATCGAAAGATATGTAAGAAGAAAAACTTACCTCATGTAACATAAGAATAGTTTATCCATATTACCATATATATATATATATATACACACACACACACTAATATAAGAATACTATGTCTTACACTAAATTTTAACCGTTGTTTCATTGTATCTAACGATTATGATTTTTAAAAATTTAATAATTAATAAGTGTGACACAATAAATTACGACATTTTGATTCACAGAAATCAACGGTTAAAATTTATTATTTATACTGGTGAAATTAATCCTAGCTATATATATACATATATATGTATAGGGCAAACATCTTTTGATACTGGTGTCAAACTTTAAAATTTGATATGAAATCCTAACCATTTATTTTCACCAATAACGGTTACATTTATTGGGAATCAAACTTATTAATTAATTATTAATTCCTAATAAATGATAACTAATTATTGACAAAAATCAACGATTAGAATTTGGTGTAAAATTTCAAAGTTTGACATCGGTGTCAAATGATCATATCTCTCTATATATATATAGAGAGAGATATGATCATTTGACATAGTTGAGGTTGTAAGAGTTGTAAACAAAAAAAGTTGTAAATGTAAACCTCCCCTATATATATATATATATATATATATATATATATATATATATATCAAGATATTCTTACATCTGCGTAAGAGTAAGAAGTCTCACACTCAATCTTAACCTTTGATTCACTTGTATTTAATGGCTCACATTACTAAAAAAATTAGGGCCATTGAAGATAAATAAGATCAACGGTCAAGATTAAGAATGTAACTTACACTGGTATAAAATGATCAAAATCATATATATATATATATATATATATATATGTGTGTGTGTGTGACAAGATTCTTTGACATCGGTGTCAAATTTTGAAATTTGACACCAAATCATATCCGTTGGTTTTCGCCAATCAATGATTATCATTTATTGGAATTAATAGTAATTAATAAGTTTACAATTTTACAGCTGTTGTACAGGCAACAGTCAAATATTTGCCATATATATACGTGAAAGCATTAAATATGGAAAAACATAACTATACAACTATCATTGTTGTACGTAAAATGGCTATAGAAATGATTTGACCTATATATATATATATAGAGAGATAACATATTCTTTGACACCGGTATCAAAAGATGCTATCCATATATATATATATATATATACATATATATATATATATATATATAAATATATGGGAAAACATTTCTCGAACTGCTTGAGTTTATCTTCGGCCACCCCAAAACTACGTCGTTTTGTTTATTTATTTTCTTATATTAATTGATTCACCTTTGAATGGTTATGATTCCCTTTTTCTCTCTCTTCCTTTATCACCATTGATCCAACTTTGTACGGTTATGATTTAGTAGCCGAAGATAACATTGTCTCAAGCAGCTTGAGAAACGATAAGGCTCATATATATATATATATATATATATATATATATATATATAGGGGTTTACATTTCTGCAGCTGCTGCACGTAAAGCAATCAAATACTTGTTATATATGTACTTGAAAGCATTAAATGCGGAGAATCATAACCATACACCTGTCGTTGCTATACGTAGGGGTGAAAATGGGCTAGGCTGGGTCAAGCTTTGCCCCGAAAAGCCCAAGCCTACGCCAAAAATTTTTAATTTGGCCTGGCTCAAACCTTGTATGAGTCTAACTGATAGCCTGGCTTGCCCCATTTATAAAAAAACAAATGGTCTGGCCTAACCATTAACTGTTAATTTTTAATTTCAAAGCAGAACCATGAATCAAACTTTACAAAATACTCAAATTCCGTTGCTAAACCAAAAATCATAATTTCAACGTCCAAACAGAATCATGAATCACAACAAAACTCATACAATGTACATTTAAGTCACTTTCAAAAGAAAAATGTTCAAACTAAATAACATATATTTCATCAGATCCGACAAACAAATCCATACTATGTAAATTAAAATAACTACATGAATTCAACAAACACATCATAATTCTTGTAGTAAGTATAACCTCTCCCCAAAACCTTTTAATATACTCATATACACAATCTAATATGTTGAGATGTTGCCTCCTCCTACATAAGAAATAAAGTCAGATTTCTATTAAGATATAATCGAATATAATTTTTTTTTTTCTGATAACATAATCGAATATAATTAAGTTATAAATAACTGCAATTGATTGAATTTATATCTTTTATTTTTTCTTCAAGGCATACTTATTCTATTTTATTTTATTTAAAATAAATAATACAATATAGGCCGGCCTGTAGGCTTATAAGCCAGGCATTGTGAAAGTGGGCCTACGGCCTTTTCATTAAACAAGCTTTTTCAAGGCCCAAGCCCGGCCTATTTAACAAAATATACTAGGTCAGGTATGGCCTGACGTAGGCCGAGCCGTAAGCCCCTGCAGGCCGGCCTGGCCCAGTTTCACCCCTAGCTGTACGTAAAGCAGCTGCAGAAATGATTTTACCATATATATATATATATATATATATATATATATATATATATATATAGGGGTTTACATTTCTGCAGAGTTGTTGTACGTGCAGCAATCAAATTCTTGCCATATATATATATTTGAAAGCATTAAATGCGGGGAATCATAACTATACAAAGGATGAAAGCATTAAATGTGAGGAATCGTAACCATGCACCTGCCATTTTAAATTTAAATGACATAAATTTATGTAATTTTAAGAGTGATTGACGCAAAATAATATTTTTTTATTTAAAATTTAAATTAAAAAAAAACCAGTCACTTTCTCTCTCATGATTTTCATTTCTTGTGTCTATCTCTCTTTAAATGACATAACTTATGTCATTTAAAATGACAAAAATCAAACCCTATATATATATATATATATATATATATATATATACATGGGTCAGGATTATTTTACACCAATATAAGTTACACTCTTAATCTTGTCTGTTGATCTCATTTATATCTAAGGGCTATAATTTTTTAATAATGTGAGCCATTGGATACAAGTGGATCAATGGTCAAGATTGAGTGTAAGACTTCTAACTCTTCCACCGGTGTAAGAATATCCTGCCCCTATATATATATATATATATATATATATATATATATATTGATTGGTAGGATCCTTTGACACCGAATTTGAGAGCCGTTAGATCGAAAAAGATCACCGACTTTAATTTATAAGCATGTGATACTATTGATCTTTTTTTATCTAACGGCTATCAGATGAGGTGTGAAATTTCAAATTTGACACCGGTGTCAAAAGATCCTACCTCATATATATATGTGTGTATCAAATTTTAAATTTGACACTGGTATCAAATTTTTTTACCTCATATATATATATATATATATATATATATATATATTCATTTTAGACAAAAAGTTTGATATATTACTTTTGAAAATAACTTAAGCTTATTAATATTTTATTCATTTGAACTTTTACGCCAATACATGCTCTTTCTAAGGCATTCTAAGCGGGAAAAAAATTGTAATAATAACCAAGGTCAAGTAAATATAACTAACACGTTATTAACTTGTGATCTTTTTTAAAGAAAAAACTTTATAAAGAATTATATGCTGTAATGCTACTCGGTAACTAAATAAAGCTAAAATTGGGAAGGAATACAATTCTTTGTAACATTTACACAAAGACATTACTTACCAACATTCAATCAATCATTAACTACCAAACAATTTGCAAACGTGGAAAAGCACCTCGTAACAATAAATCAGAACTTGAAGAAAACTACATCAACTTTCCCGATTTATGTCTACAGCAACGGACCAAATCATCCATTGGCAAGTATTCATAATTTGATCGAAACTGTAGATGCCCAAGAAGCCAAAAGATTCAAACGCGCCACTTAAACCTACGACAACCACACAGGCATCATATCAAACCCTTTGCACAGACACCCTTTAGTTAACCACAGCCTATCGTTCGGATCAAGCATATTGTAACTTGTGCATGCCACCTTTTCTTTTTCTATATAATATATTGTCTTTATCCCTCGCATTAGAGGGGGCAAGACAATCCAAAAATAGCCTCATTTATGAATCGCCTGTTGCATTGCTCGGTGCATATTGCTAATAGTCTATCTGCACTGTGCATTGCAACTTTCAGAATTCAGATTGTACGAAAAGACAACATGTAACTCTACAACCAAAACTCTTGGCCTTGATAAATACAGTTCTTGGAGCAAAATATCACGAGCTCCTCCCAATATCTTTGCCTGAGAACTCTCCATTACCAAAGGATGCAGCTGCAGCAGTAACATCAAGACCACTGCCAATAGATGTGATGAGTGCAGATAAGCCTCCACCAGCAGTGCCACCAGCAGCCATACCCAATCCTAGAAAATCAAGAGTGGTCTGTTTAGGACCAAACATGGAAGGATTCCCCAACATCAATTCCTTCAATCCAGAGCCACCATCACAATGAAGCCCAAGTCCAAGCCCTGCAGGAATAGAAGCACTATCTGGTTCTACTTGCCCCTGACCCCATTGCAGGCTATCTTGCTGGCCTGATGAAGATGCAGCCGAAGATGATACAATTCCAAACCCTCGAAGCAAAGAGGCATTTGTGGCAGCTGAACCCATTTGAGCAGCTTTCTGCAGCAATGCAGTAGCAGACATAGCCGGTTGCGGTGGTGGTGGTAATGGCAGGGCATATTGACGGCACTCCTGCCCTCCTGTTTCAAAAATTGATGATCCATGATTGGTGGAGAGGCAGAGAGAAATTGCCTCCGATGATGAAGGACCAGAATCTGGACACCCCATGGCCCTAATTAGGTCAGTGAATGCTGGTGTTTGAGATTGTAGGTTCCCTGATGCTGTTGAGGAAGCAAACAAACTTGCAAAAACACTACTGCTAGTAGTACTCGTAGCACCGCTATTGCTTGTTGAGTTGGTGCTGCTGCTACAGCTCCCATTTAAAGCAGTGGTAGCTTGTGATTCCTCCATGATTTGTTCGGGGTTTTCTGGCAACTCTGTAACATCAGAACCGAGAATAAGGAAAAGCAGAGCAAGAACAACATTATTATAATGAATTATTATTAATTAATAGGAGAAGTAAAGAAGAGCAAAAGCAGCCACTTAAAACACATAGACTCGGAAAGTTGGTGCCTTACTTTTTATGTTAAAGTTCAAGAAAAGAACAAAATAATAGTTTTCTCCTCTCTTGAAATCCACCCCCAACACTCCAAAAAAAAAATATTTCCTCTTTGTAGCTTTTGAATCTTTGAATTTTCTTTGTCAAAAATTGCATAATTTACAATCCACAGTCCCGAAGAACACCTTTTATGTGGTTTCTTTTCTTTACTTAATTAGCTTCCCGAATCTTAGATCACTTGATCCTATTATGACTTATGATACAAACAGGCAAGTGGTACCAAAAGACAATACCAGACAAATAACTACTAAGCTCCAAGATCAAAGAGACAGAAACAACAAAAAGCATAGGTTTAATTTTGTTGTCTAGTTTAACCACATCACACGGGACAAAAAAAAAAAAAAAAACCGAACCAGAAAAGATTGTATATTTTCCCGATTCGGGATATTATCTACCTAGGTTTTGTGTCTGCAAAGGAGAGGACATGACACTGTTTGACTGAGTAGTAGTAGTAGCCGCTGCCGGCGCCGGAGCCGCCGCAGGCGGCGATGAATCACCAGTGAAAACCTTGGAGTCAGACTCTGAATTAGCCTTCACAAAAGTCTGAGGCTGAGATCTTGCACTCTCTTCTGCTAAAGCATCGCAAAAAGCTCTATGCGTGATGAAGCTATCCCTCCTTCAAATCAGAACCCAAAAAAAAAAAAAAATTCAGAACCACAGCAGAGAGAAACAGAGTGGAAAATGAAGAGAAAAAGAAAAAAGAACCTCGAAAACAGAGTTCCACAATCGCATTTGTACTCTCTGGTGCCGCAAACCTTGGAGTGAGCCTTCCAATCTGATTGAACAGCGTATTTCTTGGAGCACTTGTCGCATTTCCACTTCTTCTCGCCGTGCTTTCTGCAGAAGTGCTTCTTGATTCCAGTGAGATCACCCAATGCTCTTGAAGGGTTATGGTGAACGCACGTTGGTTCAGGACAAACGTAGACCCTCTTTCTCACCTCTTTGCTCGACCTTTGCCTCAGCTTCCATGGCAGATTGTGACCCCTTCGATGAAGTTGCAGATTCTGGTCCCTCTGAAACCCTTTGTTGCAAATTTCACACACGAATCGGTTCGTCGCCAAAAGGGTCTTCGGAGATAGAGCAATCACCTCTGCTTCTGGATCTAAAAAATGAGAAAAAAAAAAAAAAAAACAGGGAGATGATTAATATAATAAAATTAAAGCTTGTTCACAAATATGGTTAATTTGTTGTTACCTGGCATTCCTGGAAGGTTTCGTTTTTTCTTGGTAGTGGGTTCTGGAGGTGCTATGTGATTGCCAGAGGAAGAAACGCTAGCTTCCCCTGAAGCTGTGGAAACATTGTCAAAATCAACAGGCATGGGAACCTAGCTACAACTTTGAATTGAATAGGGGTTTCTTCCAAATCTATTGACAAAGAGGGAAAATCTTAGGGGCATCCCAAAGCAAACTTTTCGAATAAAGTTTTGATTTTTTTTTTTTTTTTTTCCTCTCTTGTTTTGTAGGGTTTCTATTCCACTCTCCTATCTTCTTAGCTCCTCTTTCTATATCTATATCTATATCCACCGGTCAACCTGCAAAGTTTTCTTCTTTTTTTATTGTTATTTTTTATTTCACCTCGTTTCTCTCATTTACACACACCACCTACCACTCCAATAATGACTCTCTGTCTCTCTCTCACACACACAAACACACCAAAATTCACATTAGCATAAGAACTCAAACCCTTAAACCCAATATTCCAATACCATAATGTGACCCAAAGATCAAATATTGAAACATCACAGACAGGATCCTCAATCTCCTTGTATTCCTTTCTTTCTTTATCCGAAGTTAACTTAGTTTTTTCAGAGGGCAGAAAATGGGAAAGCCGCAGGGCAATAAAAATTAGGTGTTGAGTTTGATTAATTAGTAGTAATGAACATGGTTATGACATTTTTCCTTTATTTTCTGGATTCGGTCGTGGAAATTAGAAGAAGGATTCAGAGTGAGAGAGACAGAGGCTTTGCTGGGTAAAACTTTTGGTGTCTAAATTCGTAGCCTCCACTTGTCGAGTCAAATGCTTAGTAGGCACACGGAACAGTGGTGGACGGGTGTTTACTCCCATGTTTGTCGTTTTGCTCTTTTTTGTTTTTGGTACTGTGTCGTTTTGCTCTTTGAGTCTTTATCGTTTGAATCCGTATTCTGTAGAAACCGACAGAGACCGACAGGCCTCGAACAGAACAATCAATAAAATATTGTTTAAAACCAATTTTCAAAGAGAAATAAAGTCAAAGAACTTTAATCTATGAAAGAAACAAAAGCTTTCAGTGTTTTACAACCGGTACGGGAATTGCACGTTCCTTTTTGCTTATTATTATTTATTTTGCATGTGCTTCAATTTTTTTATTTTTTTTTATAACTTGAAAATATACAATTCAATTTCCTCCTGTCGTTATATTTTCGGAGTGCAACCTATCTCCTCATTAGAGCAACATATATATCGAATTTTGCCACCGAAAAAGAATGAGACTAAAGGTGTGTATGACAATCATTCTATTCCCAGGTACTATTTCTGAAAAGAAATAATTCTTTTCTATTATGTGCCTTGGAACTGTTTCTGAGAAAAAAATTGTGTTTGATAACAAGTTCTATTTTTATTCTGAGAATAAGAATTGTGTTTGATAACACAACAAATAATATAATAAAAAATAATTCCTATTAAGCATAATTTTTTTGAATTATCACTTTTCTTTTCGTATTATGTGGTGGTGGTGGTGGTAATGATGGCGATGGTGGTGACAGCAACAGTGGTAGTAGTGGTGGTGGCGTGGTGATAGTAGGGGTAATGACGACAATGGATGCGGTGATGATCGTGATATTGGTGATGGTATAGTGGTGGTGGTAATGGTGGTGGCGGTGATGGCAGTGGCTGCGAAGATGGTGGTGGTGGCAGTGGTGGCGGCGATAACGGTGGTTGGTGACTGCGGTGGTGGTGGCGTGATGATGGTAGTGTTAGTGACGGCGGTGGATGCGGTGATGGCAGTGGCTACAAAGATGGTGGTGGTTGTTGGTGGCGGCAGTGGTGGTAGTGACAGCAGTGACTGCGATAATGGTGGTTGGCGATGGTGGTGGTGGTGGTGATGGCAGTAGCTACGGTGGTGGTGGTGGTTGGTGACAGTTGTGGTGGTGGTGATGGCAGTGGCTACGGTGGTGGTGGTAATGGCAGTGGCTGCGGCGATGGTAGTGGTGGTTAGTGAATGTGGCGTTGTGGTGATGGCGATGGTGGTGGTGACGACGATATTGGTGGTACAACGACAGCCGGCGAATGGTGGCGGTGGTAGTAACGGGATGGTGGTGGTGATGATATTGATGATAGTGGTGGAGAGTAATTGAGAGAAATAAATGTTTCTCATTTTGTGCCCGGGAACAAAAAGCAGAACTTATTTGATTCTTTTTTCTGTTTCCCAGCACAAAAATTAAATCGGTTCATCCCGGGAACAAAAAAATAAACCGATTTTAACAAACGAGTTTTCTATCCATTTCTGTTTCCGAAAACAGAAATTAAAAAAAAAATTGACTCCGAGAAAGTTGTATGCACACCCTAATTCTTCATTCGAGGAATGAGACACATTCTCTCATCCCTAAAAATTTTCCACTGCCTATCCCTCATTAAAACAGGGGTGCATTAAATTTTGTCATCGGAGAAAGAATGAGACTAATTCAGAAAAAGAGACATATCCCCTTGCTCCAACAATTTTTCAAGAATTTACTTGAGATAAAATTTAAACTCATGACCTAAACAAATTCTTAAAAATTCAATTATTAACTACTCTTCGGATTCTTGAAGATTTTTTTAAATGATGTTATAAGCACACACACACATATAATTTTATATTCATATAATTATTATTATTAAATGTCTCATTTCCTTTATTAAATCTTTAAATACATATCTCTGTTTTGCCTGATCTTCGTCCCTTTAAAATTAAAATTCTTAACTTTATCTCAGTCTATATTTTGATTTTCTCGTATACCCTGACGTCAATAGATGAGAGCCATGTTGCATGCTCTGTTCCCTTCCTACCTTAAGCTTGTTTGACACACCAGAAGCTGGAATTTGTTGTCCAATATCTCGTAACTTAAACATAAATTTTGTTTATTAACTTTGAGTTGCATCCCATAGACCCAAAAAAAAAAAAAAAAGGAAATGAGGTCTTTAATTTTCTTTCTTTTAGGGACATGAAATATTGGAATTAGATTATATTCGATGATACATTATTTTTTTTGGATAAAGATGATACATTTAAAAGCATGCTTGGAAAAGCTTTTTTTACTAAAAAAAATAAGAGTTATATTTCTCTCATTTCACGTGAAAGAAGTCAAGTTCCTATACACATAAAACAGAGGTAGGTCACACATATGTTTTCTCTCTCTCTTTTCTTATCTATAGGTCTCGCTTGTAATATTGTCTCTGCGTATAATGCATCGACATTTCAAAAATTCTGACGTATCGTGCCCGACACTTTAACACGCATTGCATAGATTCAAAAGAAGGTTCAAAGTTTACGTTGCGTTGCATTTTTAGTTCTAACTATTAGATTTGTTGGATTACGATTACCATTTTATTGAGTATAATATAAATATTTGGGATATCTTATATTCCTTTACAAAATTGATAGGTATTATAAGTTTAGCTTCATTTTTTTTAAAATTATTGAATATTAAATATAAATATACACTACATAAATTAAATATATTATTTAATATTAAAACGTATCCTAACGTGTTGAAATCTAATATTTTTTAGAATTAACATGTCAGAGTGTCGTGTCGTGTCCCGTATCACATGCCAGTGTCGGTGCAACATAGGTCTATGCTACATGAGATAATTTTTCTTATAGAGCATGAGAAAATGATTTCTCAAAAAATAATTACTATTTTTTTATACGTTTTATCATAAAATTATAATAAAAAGTAACTTTAAAATAAACTAATGAAACATGGAGTTAATGCCAATACATTGCTGTTACGTACCTTTGGTGATAATGAGTTGAGGGAACAAATAGAAATTTAAGGTGGGGGAAAATGGCATTCATAAATGCTTCTCTCTTTGTCAATGCAGCACATGGATCTGCCAGCTTATGCGCCCCCTTCCCCTTGGCTAGCAAATAGCTAGTAGCTCGGTCCAAACTTGGGTGTAGACACTGTATTTACAGTGGAAGGGGAAGCTGGCTACCTCTTTCGATTTTGATATTATTCTATTATTTTGTGCATGACAAATCAATACTCATAAAACAATTCACACCTCACTATTTTATTAATTATAAATTGGCATCATTTAGTTTTAATGATAAACCATTCAATTCAAAAGAATAATATCAAATTCTCATAAAAAAGGAGATTACTTACATCTATCATCATGAATATCTATCTTGTTTTTATGGGCGGCTTTTCGACCATAATAAAGTGAAAAAGTTCTCACTCTTCATCTTTTTCTCCATGAGTTTCGACTAGAGGTTCATTAACCAAGTATATTTTTTGGTGAAACACTTTATTATGGTCGAAAAGGCTTTGGTTGGCGGTTTCTAGGTTTGCTGCTTTTTTAATTTATATTTTTCATGATTTAAAAATTGATTAGTTTTTAGATGATAATATTTTATTTTTAGTATTACTTCAAGCAGATATGACATGACTGATATTAAAAGATGAATTTAGTGTTTCTCTTAACATCATTTTGGAATTTGAGAATAAATAATTTATTTTGAAAAAATTCATGTTTCACGAGAGAAGTTCAATTCCAAAATATCAAAGTATACCTAATCCTTCAAATTGCATGATTTGACTACCTAATACTTCAATCCAAGCAAGCAAAGATCTGACCTCATATGAGCTATTTATACTTTGCAACATCAAGGTTGTTTGTGCATTGCACATTTCATGCATACATATCATATGAGAAAAAAAAAATTACTTCTCTACCTCAAACAATCTGCTATTGCTAGATAAGAGAGCACAGAGTAGAGAACTTATATTTCTAGAAAAGCAGTCCAGAGACTTAGGACAAAGAGGGTCATACATCAAAAGTTGAGCTCGAAGATTAGTTATATACTTTTGAGCTCTCTAAAGCTTTGAATAATCACTCACCTTTAACTCCTAATGTTGTCCTGGAGTATATTTTCACGGAACAGTGATCAAAATGCCACTGTTTATCAAGTTTTTGACCTAAATGCCATGCGAACAATGTTATTTTTCAATATGCCACATGGGCAAGTTCGCTGGGCACTGTAGTGAACTCAGTGCTGACGTGTCGCGTTTTAAGTGGACACCAAGTTCGCTACACGGGGTAGCGAACTTGGTTGAAATATGCATTTCAACCAAGTTCGCTACCCAATGTAGCGAACTTGGTACTATTTTTTTTAACTTGGTACTTATTATCCACTAGAAACGTGACACGTCAGCAAACTGAGTTCGCTACAGTGCCCAGCGAACTTGCACACGTGGCATATTGAGAAATAACATTGTTCGCGTGACATTTAGGTAAAAAACTTGGTGAAAAGTGACATTTTGATCGGTGTTCCAT